GTGGCTCAGTTGGTTAAGCGACTGCCTTCGGCTCAGGTCATGATCCCAGGGTCCTGGGATCGAGTCCCACATCGGGCTCCCAGCTCAGCAGGGAGTCTGCTTCTCCCTCTGACCCTCTCCTCTCTCATGCTGTTTCTCTCTCGCTCACTCTCTAATAAATAAATAAAATCTTAAAAAAAAAAAAAAGCTTGATTTCCTCTATTTTGCCTACTAGATACAGTAAGTTTATCTTTTAAATTATCAGAAAAGATACCATTTAGTTACCAACTCAGTAGAGTAGGTGGAATTTGCAAATTAGTATACAGTGTTTTAACATAGTTTGAATCTTTATATTGTAAACCTTGACAAGAGAGCTCCAACAATGCATGCTCCTTTTACTTTAAGCCTCCCCAAACTAATTTGTAGGAATATTATCCTAAATTTCTAATGGGATCCCCCCTCAAAAAAAAGTAGTTTCATAAATGTAATTTCATCTTAGACACAGCCTTGAAGGAATGTAATTATTCCTTATATTTAACATACATTAATCCTTTCAAACACTCTAGAACATTGGCCTCTTAAGGCTGCAGTGGCTTCACTTTATAGGAGAGTTCAGACCTGAAGGGTATGTGGGTTTATCTGAGATCACAGAACAGAGAAGTCATGAGTGAGCAGCAGAGCCAGCTCCGGAACTCCATTCTCGCAGCCCTCAATCTAGTGTTCTTTCTAAGTGTTCTGTAATAAATATGATTTTAAAATAAACTGAGAAATAAAGAGTGGTAGAATCTTTACACTGATTTGCTTCTCCAAATCTATTGTTGATATATAGTTAAGGTTTTTAGAAATTAGCTCATCTTTCTGTTTTTATTTGTGGTGTTCACGGCTTACATTTTTAGCAAACAGGGAACACTTGACAAAAATGTCCATTCCTGGTAGAAAACAGAAATATAAGTACTTCTTCAGTGGGGAACGCAAATCTAACTTTAATGAGACACAGGCTCACTGTCAGTATGGTGGTAGGACACCTTTTCACAGTCCTGCGGTGACATTACGGGAATCTTTGCTGTTGGGTCCCCTATGAATTGATTTCCCTTTTCTCCGGTTCTCAACTGGAGAAAATGACGCTCTCCTCCCCCTAAAGGAGACAGTGAGGTGACGCCATCGGGTCCGTGTTGGTGTTCCCCAGCAGAGAAGCACCGGCTTGCTAGAGGTGGGGGACCCGAGCGCACGTGTCATTTGGTTAACAGGCTGCTCCGTGCTGTGCAGTCCAGATGGTGCTTCACATTGCCAGTCATTTATGACTTTGCCATTTTTTTTTGCTTCTAAGACAATTCGTTTGCTTCCTTACAGATCAAAGGTCCACCGTCAAAACACCAAAGACTCAAGACACAGAAGATGATGAGGGGGCTCAGTGGAATTGTACCGCCTGTACTTTTTTGAACCATCCAGCCTTAATCCGCTGTGAACAGTGTGAGATGCCAAGGCATTTCTGAGCCAAAAGGCCCTGTAGCTCTAAAACCACATTGGAAGTTCAAGAAACGAGTCTGTCATCAGGGGAAAAGTTTCACTGCTACATAGGATTTTGTCAAATTGAAGGTGTGACGAGATGGTGTTGTGCTAATGTTAAATGTCAGCCCACAGAGCTAGTGATACCTCAGTCTAATGTCATGGGCAGTTGAAATTCATCACATGAAAGGGGATCTGCTGAGAGAGCCGGTTGCCTGCTGCCTAAGCACGTACAGTGTTACCAGTAGCCCATTGTGGATAACTCTCAATATACTAATGCCTAGGTGTGCCCAGGACCTTTTCCCCCTCATGTCACTACTGAATTCTGACAGGAGGAAGGAATAGAACGATGGCTTTTTTTTTTAAAGCTTTCGGTGAAACACTACAAACATGAAGAAAAGGAACAAGATGTAACTATTTAAAAACTGTTTGCTGCCGCACGGTGCCAATGAGTAGGGGAAGAACTTCATGAATCTGTGGTACTCGTGGCCTCGTCTTTGTCTTCCCTGAAACGTCTCCACTCTGTGAAGCCAGCATCTGGGGCCTAAAGATGAAAAGGAAAGCAGCATGCATTGTCTGTACAAACGTGCAGTGAGATATCCCAAAGCTTTTCCTACTGTACAGATCTCTCGAGTCTGCTTTCAGTGATTTCTTTATTATTTTCTTATATTTCTATATGTATAGTGTAATAGTCTTTTGTTAACTAATTTTCTTTTCTCCTTTTAGTGATTAAGCACGATCATGTCCCTTTTTAAGCCTTACCTGAGAGAAGCAATGCCTTAAAATAAAAAAGCATTAATGAAATGAAACTGTGCACAAAATAACTTTCCTCTACTTACCCTACTCTGCCCTCATGAGTGCCGATGTTCTGTGAAGACGTGGGGATGCTGCACACTGACTTGCAGGAAATGTACTACAAGACTTGCGTCTCTCTAAGTCACACTATGTCTGCCGACTTCAGCAGTGGGTCACACAGCACACTGATCTTCCACAGGGAAGCTTAAAACGAAAGGTATTTTTAACCCACTGACAGAGCAACAAGGTTAAGCTTGCTTCATCTGCCTGGTGTCCCACAGAACTGTCACAAGAGATTACTATGGGGAAAGTACAGTTTTCAAAACCAGCCACAGCAGCAGAACCTACAGCCCTGGTGTGGGGAGAAGCGTAATTGCTTTACTGTCGGGGCAGTCCGTTTCTAAACCTGACTTGGTGGCAGTATCATGTGTATTTATAAAACGAGGCTAGTCAAATTTAGGACAACTGAAGGAAAGCTGGAAAAAAGAAAAGCAAACTTGAACACTGAAGCAACCTCAAGCATCTCTTTATTTTGATGATATATTTTTATAAGGAAAATAAATATTCAGATGATCGGGAATGTATATAACTAAATGAAATCAAGAAAAAGAAATAACAGTATGCATTTAAAAAACAGAATTATGAAATTATATATCAGTGCTTAGAATGGGGCTAAGGGAAGTGCTGAAATATAGCAAAAGGTAGGAGATAATGTTGACTGTCACCCATTGTAAATGTCTGCAAATGGATATTTTTTAAATAAGCAGGATTATTACAGGTGATCTATATGAATGTCAAAGCCTTGACTTCCGGGCTTTGCATCTTGTATATGGGAAGAAATATGACAATCCTAGTTAATTAGACCATAGACCCAAAGCCCTTACATTTGATGCATTTTGTTTTAAAACTAGGCCTTGTTTTTCAGCTTCATCTGCAGTTCTATGTGAAGATTGATAAATCAGTTTTTACTTGTTTTATTAATAAAACGTAATTTGGATATCTTGAGTTGATGGTTTTGTGATTTAGCTGGGTAAACTATCTTTGTAACAGATAAGTTATTTATAAAAATTAAAAAACTTATATTCTAATGTGGATTTTGTGACTTGTTTTTAAAGTTTGTGGGATAGAAGACAACTTATACCCCAGCAGCACATTTGATAGCTAATTGAAATCAGAGAAAATTCATTCTTCTCTAGAGTCTTCTCGTGACATCATGGCATTCAGCTGCATTTCTTGGATTATTGTTCTCAGTTCCCCCAAGCTTTTTAACTAATGAAAGAGAGCGACCGTGTTTCAAACTGAGCCAAAAATAATGAATGTTGCTTTTTCATAGTTACTGCTTTTCCTTTAGTTTCTTTTGGGGGTTTTAAAGTTTACCTCGTTGAAAACAGGATATCTTGGGCCATTTGGCCTGGGGAGTCATTCAGTTAAGATCTGTTTTATTCCATAATGTGTAGGTGCTGGGGATCTCAGTGGTGCTTCTCTTGGAGAGAACCTTTATATTAAGAATTTTCAGAAAACATCACTCAGCTTTTCTGAGCTTGAAAACAGCAAAGTAGCATTCACTGATTTCTTTGTTGTAACTGTGGAAAGCCCTGCCTTGCCTCCGTTGGTCTTTTAAACTTAGTGGGACAGAAATATTCTTTGCCAAGGAATATGAGGCTGGTGGTCTGGAAACCACCTTCAGGAATTATTGCACTAAAATAGAATTACAGGTACGAAGAACCTCAGAACGATAGACTTCTGTTTCTCATCACTAATTATCCTTGGGTGCTGACATTCTCTATATTTAAAGGTGAGGTGGGCAATTAGCAGTTCATGGAACCTGGACTTCTCAGGAAAACTTTTATATTCACAGCACAGTGGCCAGTATTGCTATTATAACTAATACGTCCTACAAAGACGCATGTTGTATTGCAGATTTTTGTGGGAAATACGAAAGTTAATTTTTCTTTTAAAATTTCCACTTACTTTTTTAAATGACTGATCTAGACCAGTCTGTAGCCTAATATTAATTGACTTTATATTAGAGAATTGAAATTGTGCAGAAAATCAAATCAATGGACAGTCAAAACCATTAGCTGTTAACTTCAAACGTATTTCAATTGAAGCGTTATAAATAGCAGACTTCACTGACATTTCATCAATTACCTCTATCCCAGCTGAATGTTGATGGGACAGTCCAGTGAGCGTTGATGGGACCGTCCAGTGAGCAATGATGAGTTTAAGAAGTGAGTGGTGTAAGGTGTAATAATGTCCAGTCCAGGAGTAATTGAAGTCGGCTGAATTGCCTTAGAAAAGACTGTTGGATCTGTAGTGGCACCAAGGGCCATTCCAGATTTAGTATCTTCATGCTGGGTATTAGCATAGTTTCCCTTATAATATTACAAAATACTTATATTTCGCTATGACAAATGAACATATTTTTGGCTCCAGTTTTTAGAAGCTACAATTATTATAGCCATATTATTTGAAGATGAAATGGTTTAGGGCTGCATTTTAATTTTTATTACTTCCATCTGAAAATAAGGCAACTTGAGAGAAAAGACTTTTAAAGAAAACAGAATTTTGTAGCTTTATATTTGTTAAAGTGGGATTCCCCCACCCTACCCCAGTGTGTTTTGGTAGTTTTGTTTTGTTTTAAGGGAGTGTAATCATACAAAAATGCTTGGTAATGCATTGTCTTTGCAACTATAAATTTTTTCCTATATTATATGTTCAAAAATAGAACTGCCATGTTACATTATAATAGTTCACTGACTTGCCTAGTTATTTAGAAAGTTTATGAAAGCACTTGCATTTTTTTTATTAATTTTTTAAATTCCAGTGGAGTTACCATATGGTGTTATATTAGTTTCAGATGTATAATACAGTGATTCATCAATTCTATACTCAATGTGTTTGCATTTTTAACACCATGGCACCTTGTTCCCTAGATAGACCACTCAAATCGTAAGAATCAGGACAGTTGAAGTCCAATTCGGGCATCTCCCTAGATTTACCCTGTAACCCTAGATTAGTTCTTTGCTTTTATTTCTCGGCCTTGTTAAATGAAGATAATTATATTAATTATGTTTAACCCACCTCACTGTGGCACTGAATGTGAAACTAGCTGAGCCAACCCCTTCTCACTAGGAATTTTGTTGTCCTTAAACTGGGTTATGTTTTTGAATGAATGGACTTTGATGCATTTTTCTCAACAGTATCAGTAAATGAAACGGTAAGTTTGCAATTATTTCTCTGAATTGGGCTAGGGACATCTCAGTGGATCAGAATTTGGTATTTCAGTCACTGCGATTAAATTCTTGCCTTTTAATGTCAAAAGGTTAGTTGCTTTGCAAAGATTATAAAATTATCAAAGGCTGACCTGAAGATCGGGTGTGTTTATATTTCTGTTGTATGTCCAGCTATCTAAAGAATGTACATTTTATGATGGAGTATAACAAATTATTTCTCCAGGAAAATAAATAATTTCTTCAAAGACACCTCTCAAATTTTTTTTTAATCTCCCAGTTGAAGCAGAGGGATATGGGAGAATATTTTTTCCTGAGAAAACTGGTCAAGAGGGGCACCTGGGTGGCTCAGTCGGCTAAGCATCTGCCTTCGGCTCAGGTCATGATCTCCAGGTCCTGGGATCGAGCCCCCCATTGGGCTCCCTGCTCAGCGGGGAGTCTGCTTCTCCCTCTCCCTCTCCCACTCCCCCTGCTTGTGTTCCTCTCTAAACTGTGTCTCTCTCTGTCAAATAAAATCTTTAAAAAAAAAAAAGTCAAGAGAAGAAGGAAAAAAGAAAATTAAATGCAAACAGTGTAATAACCCTCTCCTCCCCTTTAGCAAGAAAGGTGAGAAGGCAGCCTTCTGACTAAAAGAATAATAGCAGAGACCAAGACTTCCTGTGTGATGCACACCATGAAACAAGCATACATTTTATACAATTCGGCTTGGAGCCTAATGATGGGCTTTTAATAGAATTATTTCAAAGCCCACATGCTGAAGAACCAGATACATATCACAGAACAGTCTAGACATTCTTAGAAGGCCACTAACCTAAGCAACCAAGCTCTACTAAGCGACTGAATGAGAAGCAAGCCGTGCAACCTCATTGCAGTGAATAATAGGTATTCTTTCTTAAGATCGTGAAGTATCCCAAAGTATATTTAATATCAAATGGCAAGAACATACAGCTAAGTTTCTGAACCTTGCCACTTGTATTTCTCTCTCCACCACAACCTCTCTCTCCTACCGTTCATAACCATTAATAACCTACAGTTAAATGCAATGGGTTCACATTACATGAAACAAATGGCCCCCACATTCTAAGGCAAGTGAGATAAAGAATAAGGAGGACTCGCTGAAAACTTTAGACCAACTGTCATTTTTTTTTTCTGAGCATCTGTGCTGTGGAATCTACATTTGCTGCAGTGCGGAGATCTTGAGACCCCCTTGGAGTTGTACAAGGCTCTCATTTTCATAGCATTTTGACAGACTCCTCCATCCACAAATAAAAGGATTTTGTTACTGTAATGAGTCTCACTGATTCTTCGTTCTCAGTTTTCTACAGGCATGACGCTGAGAAAGAAATTCCCTGTCATTCTCAAAAAGTGCAGTTTAGTAACATTTCGGCTTCGTCTTCTCTAGACAGAATAACTACCTCCAGCCGTTCCTCGTTCCTCATACACATTCACATAGCGGCGAGCCTCCTCTAACCATGTTTTATGAACTCCGGTGGGACATGGGACCTTTGGCATCCTGATGCACGTAGGGAACGGGCTTCACACTTGTCTCCTGGCACTTGCATGTCCTGTGCTTTCGTGGATGTGTTGGGGGCACACGGGAGGTTTCCTACCGTGGTACTCAGCACAGCACCCTGCGTACGCATTTCAGAGCGATTCCATGGAACCTCGCTGACCTTGGGATGATGCTCACCAGTCACTCCCTCTGCTCTTTGCTCTTGTTGTCTGTTTTCAACCCATCAGTGCTCGTATCCTGACTGTTGACTTTACATTGTTTTTATAGAACCATTTTTTGTAATGGCTCTATAAAAAACTTAAATGAACGTAAACTTTTATTAACTTTAATTTCTCTTTCAGTGTTAACAATCCATCCTAAATCAGTCCTTCTCTACGTATCTGGGCATTTTTTCCAGTAGGTTTGTACCTCACTCACCAGAGCGCTGAGCAGAATGGCCGTGCTGATTCTCGCCTCAGGACCAACCGTGGTTCACTGCCGTGGGGTCAGAACATCTCGGCACACCGTTGAGTGGCCAAGACCGCATTTTCCTAGCCACACAGAAGTAACTACCTCACCTTCCACTTCTTTGTTTCTCTCACAAACAGTCAAATTGATCTGACAGGACCTGCTGCTTCAGCAGATAAATTGGATGCTATGCATCTTCTTAGATACAACCAACACGCGCCTGCTACATGAGGCACGCTCCTCAGTGCTTTACAGATACGAGCTCGTGTGATCCTCAGAAGAGCCCAAGTGGTAGATGTTATGGTGTCCCCATTCCACAGACAAGGACCTGAGAGGCAGAGGGAGAGTAAGTGACTTGCCCAGGGTCACACAGCTGGGAAGACGCGGGACCAGAATTCCACATCGGGCAGTCTCACTCCAGTTCTGCTTTCAACGAAATTGATGTTTATTCCTACTTATTCCAAGGTGGCTACAGTGAGCGATGAGTTCTGTCTCTGGAATCGTCTTCCTATTTTAGGAGACACTTTACCTTTCTCCCTCCTTTGCCAGTCTTCCTGATCTTATTCGGACGGGTGAGGCCAAGGTCCCTCTCCGTGTTCACCTCCGTGCAGCCTGCTCCCAACGTGGACGTGGCATGCACCAGACGCACAATAAGTTTTAAGTTCACCTTATACGTTCAGCGACCTAGCGTAACTTCATTTTTCTGTCACTTCCCTCTAATGCTTCTCAGGAGCGCATTCCTGCCACCGGCCAGGTGGCCTGTCACACAAGGGAGGGAAAGCCGCCACCTTGGAGCTCAGCAAGGGGAAATAGGTGTGCACGCACGGTCAGTCCTCACTGTTCTCGGATTCTGTGGCTTGTGAATTTGCCTGCTCACTATAGCCATTCGTGCACGTGTGCG